ACAAGAACTCAGCTCTTGCAGATTTGGTCGATGATTGACTTTCAATCAGTTTTGTGCGTGATCTTTTTGTAGTATGACTCCTCTCTGAAGCCGCAACATATTTCCACCGGCTAGAATCACGATGCACATCACTCTCCTCACCCTTTTTACTCTTCTTGTTTCCCCTCTTTGACTTGTACTTCACCGATGATGGACACATTGAAGTTGTAGATGGATATGTTAGATCACAAATATCTTTCTTCAAAACCCTCTGACCCATAATATATAAAGTATTGAAATGTCTCTTTAACTCTTCACACTCTTCTTCTAAATCTCACTTACTCTCATTCTGACTTACCTCATGTTCTGTAATGTACAATTTCATCTAGAATACATGAATTGATTCCAAAGGAATAATGGCGCCTAAAATTTGTAAACCGGTAAGCTGACATGCATAGGGTAACCCATGTGTTATTCTAATGAAACAAGCTCACATCTTTTGACTTGAACCAACAAATTTTACTCTTTCTAGTTCCTTCCTAATGAGTTGTATACATTATCTTGAGACAAAACCATGCAACTTAGAATAGAATGTGGTGTTATACCGATGTTCAATATTGACAATAATTTTTTGAAACGACACTCTGATGGAACCTAGCTGCAACTTTAACACGGTGTTCACAATATCCCAACTTCGGCATAGATCACCACGACTTGAAGTCAACATATTTTTTAGTCTCCAATGAGCAGACTCCACCCTAAAAATCATAAACAAAATACTATGTTTCAAACTACTATCGAAGCATAAACATGCATAATAATGACACCAAAATGTCACGACCTGTATACCTGTTTACCGTTGTGTTCCCTAAATGAGTGAACTTGTTAGTCCATGCAGCAACAAATCTTTCTGTATAAGGTGTTAACCAGGTTTCATTCACATACTTAACAAATAATGAAATATCACCACAAACACTTTCAAAGTGCTTGAAGTGTACATCAAACTCATTTTCTGTATTTGAATACATTATGTTGTTCCATTGATCCATGACATGTTATTGTCTTTATGATTTCATGTATTCTTTACATTTCTTGCTCACATTTTTTGAAATATGGAGTGTACACAACAAATGAGTTACATTTGAAATCATTGATTCCATGACATTCATTAATGCAAGTTCTCGGTCTGTCACCACAACATTCTATAGCAATTTCTCTAAACAGAACAACTCTTTGATATTATCTAGCATCCATGTAAAGTTATCCTACCTTTCATGTTCCAAATAGGCAAAGACAAATGAAAACGTCAGCTTCATTGATGTAACACCAACCATCTCAAGCAATGGTAACTGGTATCTTCATAATTAAAATACACATAACCAAACAGCTCACTCAACATTTATAACTTATTTTAGGATGCCAAAAGTAAAGTTCTTACCTATTTGTCTTGTACATGTAATCAAATCAACACCATATGAAACATATTTAGCAACTTCATAGAACCAGGAGTGTCCAGAAGATATCAACTAAAATATTTGAGTTCTCCCCATTTCTAGTCTAACACATGTACTTTTCTTTGTGTATAAGGCTCAATAATGTTTGCATTTTTGTCATTGCACCTCTCTTGCCCAATCTATATGTTGCTCTAGCTTTATATACACGAGTAATACTCGTGAGGTTTTCTGGATCTTTGTCTTTCAAAGCAGAAACAATGTATCTCGGTGCCATATTGTATTTCGTCATGTCACTCACAAAATTTCTTTCATGATCTTTTAAACGTCGCAATATGTCATGGTCTTCCAAATCTTTGTCTAGCATATGATTGTGCGAAATTTTCGGTATTCTAGAATTTGATTATCGGAAATTTCTGGAATTTTTTCTGGAATAATTTTTAAAATTGCCCCGAAAATTTTGAAATTTCCTATTAATTTCAACCCAAAAATTTGAAAATACAAAAAAATCTGGCGATCGCCTAATTTCGTAAGTGTACCAGAAATTTAGTTTCTCACCACTTTGACCAGTAGTAAATATTTTTTGACAAATGTAAAAAATTTAGAGGTAAATAGTAACAGGGGAATTTTGGAAATAAAAAAAGTGCGGGGGGGGGGGGGGGGGGGGTATAAGTCGGGGGTGATGTGTCAAGTTAAAACCTCCTTGACGTCATAGTGGGTCAAACAATGTTCAGGCATAATTAGAGCAAGGATGCACTCGGTCTTACAACACCATAACACGATTCAAGCATAGAAAAGAGGGAATAACATTTATCTGAGTTCAGGACATCATCAAGACCATTATGAGGATAAATGTATCTCCATAATTGATATCGAGGAATTTGACACTGAAATGTCATTCAATGCCACAACATATATACTAACAATTGAAACTCTGGAAGGAAAATGATATTTTTGTCATTGCCTTAAAGTTTGCTATAGGGAAGAGCAACACTTCCTCAAAAGATAATATAATAGTAGTATGTTTTTGAAGTACAAAAATGGACGAACATTTGACCATATACTTAAAATAAACATAGTCGACTATTAAATGGTCACATAATCCCTCTAGCCTGGGAAATCAAAGGCATGAGGTATTGCAAGTGGCATAACTTCTACAAATATACAACAATTAGCCACATTGATTTCTGAAGGGCCGTTCAAAAGGCCATCAATGAAGACAGGTTTAAGTTGATTGATAATGAGACGACATAAATTAAGGTGGATACAACAAAGTTTCTATCCATGAATATAATCATGGCATCCTTCTTTGAACATACAAATTTTAAGACAACGAAGATGGATAAATAGACGGTGAAACAAATATGACAACCCAAAATCAAGTCATTTAAACCCATATAAGGAGTCAAACAGACGCACAAAATACTTGTGTTCAGTAGGATGTCCATCGTAGTGGTCCTAATGCTTGGTAATTACAAATGGAAAATCACCTAAGATAGGAAAACTCACTCAAGGCCTGGTGAAACAGTACATTGCTATGTAAAGTTTTGGATCGTATAAGGATTCCTAACTCAATGTTAGGGGAAAGGCCAAGAAACCATTTGAAATAACAGGTAATCGACCTTACTTGTAATTAAGGAAGAACATATGCCAAAGGAAAAATGTTGGTAACTATAGTTACTATAGGGAAAGAGCTAACTTCTTTTTTGATCAATGTCGGAGACAACAAGGAACTAACAACTCAAAGAATGGTGAGCCCTCGACCAACGTACTTGAAGGGAAATAGTGAATGGGAAGGTTAGGCCCAAAGAGTATCATGTAGTCATCAATGTAGAATAAAATACAACAAAGAAGCCCATCTATATAGAAAATGAAACAAACTCTTCACTTTATAACTAAAATCCAAGACCATGGCGAAAAAAGACATTGTTGCCTAAAGTGATAAAGGTACTAGACAAAGCATACCATTTGGTTAAGGAAAATTACCACTTTAGTACTATAGTAGGAAAGTTGTTCCAGAAGTAGCCAAAGAAGTACATGGTCAGAGTCTCATGGGCCCAAAGTGAATAGTTGACAAATAGTACTTGTTAACCCTTAAACATGACGACAAATGTGAAATTTGATGACACAAGTTGGTTTATCAGGGTTAGAAAGTCTCAATTGAGACCATTATCTATAAGAAAACATGTTATACATTTAGCTTACCGGGTATGCTGGTAGCATCATGGCTGAAATAAAGGTTATGAGACTAATCCTTATTGAATTCTAAGGCACAAAATATCCACATCGAGAGCTTAAGAGAGATGAACTCATTGAATGAACTAACTGGATTGCATTATTCGAATCTAAGAAAATTGTGGACATGTTATTTGAAAAGCCCACTTGACATATATTTGCGCATTTGAAGCCATTGCTTACAAATACTTTAATCAATGAAGCATTCATTTGAATCTTTGTGGATGAAGGTGTCATCCTAAATGTTATGCCCCTTTTGAGGTTGAAGAAGTTGGGGAAAATACGAAGGACCTAATCCTGACCAATATTAAGATGGATAGTTTCATGGACGTGATATCTAACAAACTTGGGGTACTTATAGTCAATATGGTAGTTTGTCTAAAGGTGATAAGACACGACTTATTTATAATAGTTGAAAAACTTTTCTACTCTTTGATTTTAGGAAGAAATTGGATCTACATTAATCAATGTGTGTTTCTAAGGCTTCATCAAAAGCTCATTTTTTGGGTAAGCGATAAGGTGAAAATTGTGAAAAATGACAATAATTTATTCTTATATGAGTTTAAGATGTTTAATGCTCAATTATACTCTCATCGCCTAAGTTTAATCATCATCTCCAAAAAGATTAAGAAGTGAAACTAAAAATTTGTCACCTCGCCAAAAAAATATTTTAAACTAATGATCAAAGTCAACCCATGACTTCTTAATAAAGCTCTAGATGACTAATTCATCATTGAAGCTAAAGAAGAAATGGAGATATAACCTATTAAATTCAACTAAGCACATGATTATCTATATAAAAAAGAATTTTTGTTGCTCGTTCTGCGCTTATCACAGTCATTCATCACCATTTTATCTCACTTATCAATGTTATTTTTTTTTTGTTTATTTATTTTTGATGAAGTTTCAGCCATTGGATAAAACACAAGAGAGAAGACTTAACAGAAAGGGCAGCAAATGATGCATTTTGATTAAAAAAATCATGTGAATTTTTTATCATATTTATAAGAAAATTTATTTTACATTTTTTAAATAAAGATCAAATGATTAATTTTTTTCTTATAAATAAGATAGAGGTTCTTATAGGATCTATCTAGTTGTTAATCATTACCTTTTCAATGTAATTTATTTTCAAGAATCATTATTTTATTATCTTAAATAAAAAGTGATCTCAAAAACATTGTTGTTTATAAAAACACTTCGTAGTTGTCGTCGCCCATAGTATCCGAGGTTTCACTATCACTTGTTTCGTCTCATCCCAAATCCTTACTACAAAAACAAAACCAACAATTTCCTCATTTTCCTTTCGCATTGCTTTTTTCCTCCGCAGAAAAAATGGCTTCTTCAGTACTCTCTGTAGCTTCACACTCTGCTTCATTTCCATTGCATGATTCCACCATCAAGGTAACTCTTTCACACTCTTCACACCTGATTCAACCCTTACCCTTTTCATGATTTAATCAAAAGTTTCGTTTTTTAACAGGGAAAGATCAAAATTGGAAACAACGGTTTGAGATTTAGCCAGGTAGTGTTTGTTCATCAGTAACTAAGCTTATTATCATTTCAAGTTTCAATTTTTTTTTAAATGTTATTACTTTTTAGGATCATTGAGTAGGACTATTATTGGGTATTGATTGTTTGAAGAAAAGTTTTAAAATTGCAATTAAAGTGGTTAATTAGGAGGTGGATGGTTTCTTGTACCATGATGATTTTCATTCTGTGATTGTGTGTGTTCTTATCTTATGTATGCATGTTGGTTTTGTTAATTCAGTCTTCTGGTCGGATCTCTATGGTTGCTGCGGTTAATGTTTCTCGGTTTGAGGGTATACCGATGGCTCCTCCTGATCCAATTCTTGGAGTTTCTGAAGCATTTAGAGCGGATACGAGTGATGTTAAGCTCAATCTTGGAGTTGGGGCGTATAGAACTGAAGAATTGCAGCCGTATGTGCTTAATGTTGTGAAAAAGGTATTTGGTGCTATGATTTTTTTTATAGTTTGCGTGTTACCCATGTCGTGTATTGGTTCTAGTTTAACTTTTTGTTTACAGACCTGATGACTATTTATTTCAATTGAGTCGATATTGATTTTGATGAAATTCTTGTTTTTTCAGGCAGAGAATCTTATGCTGGAGAGAGGGGAAAACAAAGAGGTAATTTTCTTTAGGTCGTATGTATGCGATTATTTGTGGCTTAAAACTGTTGGCTTTCGATTGTTGACTGTGATTTATCTTGGAAATGCAGTATCTCCCTATTGAAGGTTTGGCTGCATTTAACAAGGCGACTGCAGAATTGTTACTCGGAGCAGACAATCAAGCAATCAAACAGCAAAGAGTATGTACTGGATTCAGAAAATATAATTGTTTTGAAGGATGCAACATTTATTGGCTGTGAGCATAGCAAGAAATCATTTTTTTAATCTTTTCTTTTAACTTTTTGCTTGCAATATTCGATTGGCACCCAGGTTGCCACTGTCCAAGGTCTTTCCGGAACTGGTTCTCTGCGACTTGGTGCAGCTTTCATAGAACGATATTTCCCCGGGGCAAAAGTTTTGATATCAAATCCTACGTGGGGTGTGTGTTTTTTCCTTTCTCTGTTTAATTTGGTCATGATAGTTGTTTCGAGGGAATTCATATATCTCTGGAAACGTTATTTTGCAGGTAATCACAAGAATATTTTCAATGACGCCAGAGTACCATGGTCTGAGTACCGATACTATGATCCCAAGACAGTTGGATTGGATTTTGAGGGCATGATAGAAGACATCAAGGTCACATCCTGAAGAAGATATTCATTCAATTCTAAATAAAATCGAACTCTATCTAATTGTACCTGTTTGCGTTTTTATAGTCAGCTCCGGAAGGAACTTTTGTGTTACTTCATGGATGTGCTCATAACCCTACCGGTATTGATCCAACACCGGAACAGTGGGAAAAAATAGCTGATGTAATTCAACAAAAGAACCACTTTCCATTTTTCGATGTTGCTTACCAGGTACACAATCTTTTGGGTAAATGAGCTATCGTTTTAGTAAATTTTTGGACAGCATTTTAAAACACCATTAACGTATTTGAAACTATGATAAATAAACTGTACAACGTATGATATGGATTCAACTTGAAACCGGTAGATATTGTGCTGTAACCTGGAATATATCTTACGATATACTAAGCTGCATTGAAAATTTCAGGGGTTTGCTAGTGGAAGCCTAGACGAAGATGCAGCATCTGTTAGATTGTTTGTGTCACGTGGCATGGAGGTTTTTGTAGCTCAGTCATACAGTAAAAATCTCGGTCTTTATGCTGAAAGGGTTGGAGCTATCAATGTCATTTCCTCATCACCAGAATCTGCAGTAAGGTGCTGTAAATTGTGCGGTGCTTTCTCATATTTGAAATTGAATGCACACTTCTAAGAAAAATATTGTATTTGTCTACTCTTCTCTTTTCAATTTTCATGCATTTCGATTCCTTTTCTAGAAAGGTTAATAGTTCATTTTGTCAAGAGTCATTCCAAATAATCTTCACAATAAGTATTTGTAGGTACAGAACAGTTGAAATTATCTTGTAATCGCAGAGTCTCTTCGATAATCACTTCCTGAAAATGTTGAAAGCTCTCTCATCTAATACACAAGCACCTATATTCTATATTCAACTTGACCAACGCAATATATGCCATGGTAAACAATCTGTCTTGGTCAACATTTTGATAACTACTTATTTCAGGGTGAAGAGCCAATTGAAAAGGCTTGCTCGACCAATGTACTCCAATCCACCTGTTCACGGGGCTAGGATTGTTGCTAATATTGTTGGGGATCCAACTCTCTTCGGTGAATGGAAGGCAGAAATGGAAATGATGGCTGGAAGGATAAAAACTGTTAGACAGGCGCTATATGATAGTATTTCTTCAAAAGACAGGAGTGGAAAGGATTGGTCGTTCATACTTAAGCAGATAGGCATGTTCTCATTCACCGGCTTGAACAAGAACCAGGTTATTGACTTCCCTCCCTTTTGAATTCTTTTGATCAACTTATGATTTTTACACATTATATTTAGTTCTATTTCTTCGGCTCCATCAACATAATGAGTATGTGATTTGTATTTAATGTATTGCTCTGCTGACTTTGTTGTATCTTTCTTCTTATCAGAGTGACAATATGACAAATAAGTGGCATATATACATGACAAAGGATGGAAGGATTTCCCTGGCAGGATTGTCGCTGGCGAAATGTGAATACCTTGCAGATGCTATTATCGATTCTTATCATAATGTCAGCTGAAACTCAGTGAGACGTGCTTTCGAAGCAAGCATATATTTTTGACGAGTATTATACCAAATCATAGTGATCGGCACACTTAACAATAATTTTATTATGTATGCATCAATTATCATGCATATGTACCCATAGTCCCTTTGGTGTTGTAACCTTGAATAAGTTGTGAATCAAAGTGTTGATGTATACACTTACATTATGTAAACCCTACTGCAGTCAATCATTTATCATTATTGGTTCTTCTAAATTGCCAACACCAACACTGATAAAAGACATGGGTCGAAACACTTGAGGTCCCGACAAGGGAAAAAAGCTTTCACGTAGCCTGTTTATCAAACTAGTTAGATGGAGATCAAATAACTCACAAGTTTCTTAATAGAATTGATGATCGGTTTAATGATATGAGATCGGGACCTGTTACTGCGTTGGAATTCCCTTTTAAAGCAATCCCTTGCAAAGAAAATGCAGAACAAGCGATCTTAGCATAATAAGTTTCTCAATGAATTATATGTAACCTGATTTATTGAATTACATACAGTCAAAAGAGGTAGTGAAAGATAATTAGATCCCTTCTGACCAATACATTGTTCCACAAAATCACTGCACTATACACAAATATTTTCATGAAATCGAAATTAAAATCTTCTTTGCATTATCATTAACAATCCCAAGGTCTTCAATCGTATTGGCGTAACCCTTTCTCCTCATGAATATGTCTATCCTTCATTGCCAAACTCTTAGACCACATGAACAATGTGGTTATGAATCTGTCTGCAATTCCGACCTATGAGAAAGCATCACTGGTTTGGCAGCATAATGAAAACATGGCCTGGATTCTCAATGCAAGAATGTTGTCTGAAATTGATGGTTACAATGTACTAGAGTTCGGAGGTTGATGTGTCACTTGTGAAATTCTCAGAGTTCCTCCAAGTTCGACAGGTACAAGAGGGATAAGGGAGTGTAGAACATCAGCAATCAGCGGGCGGTAACATGGCTCTGGCTGCACACATAACACAGACACAGCAGCAACCTGTAAAGTACACAGTTCATGTAGCAGTTAAGCAGAATAACATGCTGCAAAATCATTGAAGAGGCAGAGTGAACTCCTAGATTCTCAAACCTGGAATAAGTGTTTAGGATCCATTGTGTTCTTAATCACTTTATCCACAATGTTTGGAAGCTTGGATCTGTCTGTGAGCTGTGGCATTGCCTGAAAACATCAGAATAACACCTTATTGTCATTTATTTCTCATATCAAACCTATGATCCAATCTGATCAAACAATTCATACCCATGTGACAATAGATTGGCATTGAGATGAACTCAGTTTTTCCACAGGCTTTCTTCCTAATAGAAGCTCCAGAAGCACAACTCCAAAAGCATATACATCACTTTTATCAGTCAATTTACCTGTAAATATAATTTCAAACCAACTTACTAAGTAAATAATTCAAGTTTTTCTATAGATGAATTTCACTATAGAAATCATTGCACATGTAATTTATTTGATTTATATTAACCTCATATTAAATTATGTACCATAATTCACAAAAATCTCTTAAAAATGATATTAAGTTTCAACTGAATAATTGATCTAGAAAAAACCTTCCAATGTTTCCTATCTTTCAGACAAGAATCAATTCCACCTCACTGTTGCATGCTGTCACAGTAGTGTTATGAACAAACTTTAGTCCCTACTCTCAAGATATTGTTTATTTTTCTTCATTATTAGTATTATTATTGTGACTATTAATATTAATATCTTGTTATCACTGACAAAAAGCAACATCTTGGATCTGATCAGTTGAAATATATTTAACTACTATATAGTAGTATTATTAATTAATCATTCATAGATCAAGCTGTGTGACCAATGCATATGCAGCATTGAAATTGTACTAAGTTGAGCTGGCCATACCATCTAAAAGATACTCTGGTGCTACATACCCCAATGTCCCTGAAAGCTTGATGTTATTCTTGTTTTGGGACCCATCAATTATGGCAAGACCAAAATCAGAAAGCTGAATTCATCAACAACTCATAGAGTCACACAGTGAGCATCATAAATGTATAGCAATATAAGGAAAATGATTTATACATCAACTTCAACATGGTACTACTTTTTTTCTTCTTTACCTTGGCATTGAAGTTTGCATCCAAGAGAATATTAGAAGATTTTAGATCTCTATGGATCACTGCAGGGTAACAATGCTCATGCAGATACTTTAAGCCTCTGATTAACAATTTAACATTAATCAATACTAGCATATGTTAAGCAAAGTACAATGAAAGCAATGGAGAATTGATTAAACAAGGTCAATATATGAAACACGGACACAGACACCAGACACGACACTGAAACACGTGACAGTGATGTGTCGGTGTCCGACATTGAAACGGACACACGTTTTTTTAGAGGAGTCGGTAGAGGTCAATCAATCACCTTGCTGTGTCAAGAGCGATCTTCATTCTCATATGCCAAGTCAATGCAGAGCCATGAGAAGGTCCTTCACATAATCAAAATTTGGAAAAAAAGTTATTAGTATTAACTCATTTTAATCAAATGAAAACATTACTATAAACAACATTACTTTACCATGTAATTGAGTTTCCAATGATCCATTTTGCATCAACTCATAGATAATAAACCTTGAATCCTCATGACTTCCACAACCAAGTAATGATATCACATTTGGATGTTGAATTTCACTTAACAATTCCACCTCGTTCTACAAATTCATCCAACTATTCAAATTCAACACAAGTTTTTATAACAAAAATGAACAAATTATTAACAGAAATTAACTCACCTCATACTCTCTTTCTGCATATTGACATTCACAGTTCAACCTCTTGATAGCAACCACCAAATTATCATCCAAACTAGCCTTGTAAACACATCCAAAACCACCCTCACCTAAGATGTTACTTTCCTTGAAATTTTCAGTGCCTTTTTCTATTTGCTCATAGTCAATGATTGGAACACACCCTTTCTTACCAACCTTCTTCACAGAATTGAATTTACTCAAAATTGGTGCAAAACCAAGCCCTTTCTCAGAATCTATCCATTCAAAAAACACAACAACAAATTCTCAAACAATAACACCAAGCAAAAAAGTAATGTTTTTTTTAGAAGTTTCTTGAAGTAAAGTACCTGAGTTCTTAAGGTTTTTCTTCCTGTTGGGTTTTGAAGCATTTATGATGTAGTAAATCCAGAAGCTCAACAGACACAAAATGATAGCACTAAGTGCGCTAGCTACTACAAATGCCCTTATCTTTTTCTTGTGTGAATCCATTTTTTCATCTTCATCCTCTCCCTCATGAATACCTGAAAATTATACACATTATAAACAAAAATCAAAACTTTTTCAAATTTCTAACTAATTTTAGCAAGATAAGAGAGTTTGAGAAAAAGGGTGGGATCCAAATGAGAAATATCAAACAAACAAGAAAAGAAGAAAAAAACATCATAGTACATTATTTGCATTGAGCTAAAGATATGGTTTTTCAGACCTGGAGAGGAAGCAATGATTGTCATTGGAGGAAAAGGTGAAACTTGAGGTGAGGGAACAACAACTGAAGCAAGAATCAAAATGGGTTTGTGAAGAATAAGTAAGAACATATGAAACATGAGAAGAAGCTTCATTGTCATTGTTTTGTTTCTATGTTTTTATTCAAACATGAAGATAAAGATTCAATCAAAGACATAAACAAATGTATAGAGATGAAGCATGAAAAGGAACACACACGCACACACACAGAGAGACACAGAGAGACACAGAGGTAAGAGTTTGTGAGCCACTGAAAGTGAATGTGTTTTTTTTGTAACTTTTACACACTTGTTGGAAAATGAAAAATATTTTTTAATAATAATAATAATAATAATAATAATAATAATAATAATATTATTATTATTATTATTATTATTATTATTATTATTATTATTATT